CCTCACCAAATGGAAGGCTAGAAAAGTCCTTCGAGATGATCTGGTACAGATGTCTTGCTTTACAGAGCTAGTAAATGAGGCCAAGAGTGGAAAAGTGATGGGCCAGTGCCACTCTAAAGCAGTGGTTCTCAGTGGGAGTAAATTTGTCCCCTAGGGAACATTTAGAAATGGCTGGAGACATTTTTTGGTTGTCATGGTGGATGAAGGGGTGCTACTGACATCTAGTGGGTAGAGGCCAAGAATGTTGCTAAACATCCTGCAATGCACAGGGCAGTCTTCTACAACAAAGAATTATCCAGATCAAAATGTCAGTAGTCTCAATGGGTTGAGAAACTCTGGGCCTATAGGTTGGGGTGTAACCAGCATTGAAATAATGGTCTTCTTTTTAGTTCTCTTTGGAGTTCACTTTCTCTCCAAAACATTTATTAAGAAATGACTTTTTCCCCAGGCACTTCATTAAGTGCTTTCTTACTTGGAAAGTAAGCTAGTGATTTTGTTTCATTGTTGTCTTGATTTTCAAACTAGGAAACAGACTTTGTTCCTACATATATTTACCTCTTTTATTATTTTTAATTATTCATTTTCTTCCTCTGAAATTTAGAAGAGTTTCCCAAGTGTATTTTCTGGTACTCCAATTTGATTTTCCTTACACTCTTTTCTATTGCCTTCAAGGTGGATTTTAATTCTGCTACTGGTGATCTTATTATTTTTAGTGGGTTTATACATTTTTAAAATTCCATTTACTCTCATTTTTGCAGTTTTAAGAATGAGAGGGGATAAATCTAAATCTTGAATCTGCCATCTTTGACCATAGATCCAATTTTGCATCTTTCTAGGGACTGAAAGTAGATTTCTTCTAAAATTTTAAACCTATTTTTATAGAAAATAATTTTCAGAGGCCCAGTCTTCCACTGAGTTTGCATAATCTGCAATGGAGGCAGAATGATAGAAACTGAGGGGCAGGCAGAGGGTCAAATTGTGACTCCTAGTGGCTCAAGATATGCATTTCTCAGAGTCAGTGGATAGCAACATATTTCTCTGGTCAATTCAGACCTTAGAACAGTCCTTTGGAAGCATCTCAACCCAACCCTTCACACTGCACAGAAATGATCATTCTGTCTAAACTTTGGGATGTGGTGTGTTCTTATCCATAGTTTACCACACCGTTGTTAGTTGCTGTTGAATCACCTCCAACTCACAGCAACCTTATGCATAACAGAACTAAATATTGCCCACCCCTGTGCCGTCTTCATGACAGTTGGTATGTTTGAGTCCATTGTTGCAGCTATTGTGTCAATCCATTTCATTAATGTCCATTAAATATTGTTTTGTGAATCTTTCTGGGT